AGAGAGAGAGAGAGAGAGAGAGAGAGAGATAGTTTTTCACATCTGCGATAGAATTTGCTCCAAATTACTGAACTTCTTAAAGTTCTAATATGTGTCTGACAGGAAGTAACATGCCCTCACCTTGCAGCAGCCTGCTCCTTATTTCTTCCCAATTAATCTCCTTTCAGTTCTCACACTCAAACACATTATCCAAACGAGCACCAATTACTCACGCAATCACACCACGTTTCATCTCCATCAATATTTTGCATTTCATTGTCCGTGGGGTTACAGATGTCACAGCGAGTAGAATCACAAACAACAGCTTACAGTCAAAATGTAATTAGAATTAATGGGTTCAATCCACGTCTCATTTCATCTCTTTGTGTTTATTTGATTGAACCAGCTGAGAAACCCCAGCGCTCACACATCTGCTTATTTCCACAGTCCACAAGACTGGCTGGCCAAACATGGCAAGCGGCTGGGCTACAAACCACATGACTGCATGTATCTTGCTAAATAAAATATCACTGTGTTAGTAGAAAAACTATAGCATGGAAAAATCAGGGTAATTCTGTTTTGTGGGCAATAACGTTATTGTCATACGTTAGAATTCAAGTACCTTACAGTATCATTCAGATACTACACATGACAAGTGTACTATTTAAATACAAGACGTATATGAGCTACACTTTTAAAAATAAAGGTGCTTCACGATGCCATAGAAGAACCTTTTTGTCTAAATGGTTCCATAAAGAACCTTTAACATCTGAAGAACCTTTCTGTTTCACAAAAGGTTCTTTGTGGCGAAAGAAGGTTCTTCAGATTATAAAAAGGTAAGAAAGAGATGGTTCTTTAAAGAACCTTTGACTGAATGGTTCTTCGTGGAACCAAAAATGGTTCTTCTATGGCATCGCTTGAAGAACCGTTTGAAGCACCTTTATTTTTAAGAGTGTAGTGCATTTCTGAAGCATTTGAGCTACTGATCACATTCAGGGTTCTGCATAACACTCACATTTGACCATCACCATGTAGACGTCTATGGTGCAGATGGGTGGCTGGGGCAAACGCTCGCCCTTCTCCAAGATGTCTGGAATCTCACGTGTGGGAATCCCATCATAGGGCTTTCCTCCAAACGTCATCAGCTCCCAGATAGTCACCCCTGAATGACAATATATAAAGTCAACACATCATGTTCTGTATATATATATATATATACTGTATACTGTATATATAACACTGTAAGCTGTGCCACATGCACCAAAGGCATTGTACTTTTTTATTATTACTATTATTATTAAAAATATTATTTTCATTTTGTAATTGTATCTTATTTTATTGTGCTTTTATTGTATGTTTTATCTATCAATTATCAATACTATACTATCAAAATAGATAGTACCGAAATAGAATAAAAATATAGAAAAAATGCAATATATAATGATTCATTTAATTTAAAGATATTACATTATATCAAATATTACACAATGTAATGTACAGCAAATCTGCAATTTTAAAACTGCAAATCTGTAAAAGGATCATAATTTTAAGTGTATTTATATTATATGTACTATATATTATACGTACTATTCATATATTATATCATATTCAGCAACAGAGTGTTAAAGTGTGGGGTCGGTTTTGAAAAAAAGGATGTTATGCTCACCAAAGCTTGCATTTATTTGATCAAAAAGACAGTAAAACAGTGATATTGTTAAATAATTTTACATTTAAAATAACTGATTTCTATTTTAACGTGCTTTTAAAATTAAATTTTATTCCTGTGATTCAAAGCTGAATTTTCAGCATCATTACTCCAGTCTTCAGTGTCACACGATCCTTCAGAAATCATTCTAATATGCTGACTTGCTGCTCAAGAAACATTTCTTATTATTATCAATGCTTAAAACAGTTGTGCTGCTTAACATTTTTTGTGAAAACCGCAGTACATTAATTTCTGCAAACAGAAAGATTATACATGTCTTTATTGTCACTTTTGATCAATTAATGCATATTTGCTGAATAAAAGTATTAAGCTCTTTCAAACAAACAAACTAAACTAAAAAACTAGGACACTCTAAAAGTGTTTTACTCACCATAACTCCATATATCACTCTGATGTGTGAACTTTCTGTAATGAATGCACTCTAGGGCCATCCACTTGATGGGCATCTGCATAAGAGAGAATTCTCATCAGGATGTGATAATCTATATAGTAATGCAATCATGCATTTAAAAAATCATACAGAAGTATGATTAGAAATTAAAATGACAATCAAGCAACTACCATTCTCATAGATTAACATTGATTAATGGTTTGGCATCCAACCCAACATTTGAATGACAAAATCACTTAAAAATGAGTTCAATGATTTCAAACCAGTGTGTTTCAGGTTTTAAACACTTACCTTCCCTCCATCTGAATTATACTCCTTTTCATCAGCATCCAGCAGTCGAGCAAGTCCAAAATCAGTGATCTTGATGTGGTTTGGAGATTTTACCAGGACGTTACGGGCCGCAAGGTCCCTGTGCACCAGCCGCCTCTCCTCCAGGTACATCATACCCTGCCAAAGAGGAGATATGAGTGCTTCAATCCAAAAACACTATGATTATCATAAATACAACTATGAATCATTACATTCAGAAAAGTAGAAGTCTGTTAAGAATATTCATCCCACTAAAATTTTTAACTAAATTAGCTGCATTTTAAGTAAACTCTAAAGTTACTTTCATTGACAAGTTTAAGTTATTACATTGCACAAGTTAGGAACTCAAAAGAAAATGAGCCGGATTGATTATGAAAAGTCAAATAGATGAAAAACAAGATGTTATAACAATAATGAAGAATGTTTTATAGTGTTTCTGTAGTTATTGCTCATAAATCATCCCACCAAAAAAAAAATTTATTGCTCAATGTCAATGAATGTTTCTTCAATGTCTGGTATTTATTTATTTTTTCTGGTAAAACTAAATTTTTCAGATCTTTACAAACATCCTTCCTTGTCTGTACCCAAATTGTGACAGTGATGTTTCAGAAAGGTTGCACTTAAAACCACAGTTAGACAGCAGCAACAGAAAAGAAGGCAGACAAAATCTGAGTCAAGCACATATTGTACTAAAATGCATTTTGTCCTGAAACTTTTCAACATTACAGACAGATGTGAGAATTAAACAAAGGAGCAGACACCTGACAGTGAGAGAGTGAATCATGGACCGATCAGTCACCAGCCACACACACACACCAAGGCCACAGTGTGAAACGTAGTGCAAAACTCTTTCCAAGTGATGCTTTTTAATTACTGTATTAATAACAATGTGTACTGTACTGTATTAGACACTTTTTATTACTATCTGTATACAACCTAACAAGTCAACATAAAATATCAGGATATCTTGTTTACAAATAAATATGCGTTAAGTGAACGCACATATTGTGAAATATTATTAGTTTAAAACAGCTGTTTTCTGTTTTAATGCATTTTAACAACTATGCAACTGAAAAAAAAAATGTAGTAGGTTTACTTAGTAGATTAAGTTTTATTATGAAATATATCTAGATTTATTGATTCATTCATTATGAATATGGTTCTTTTTGGCCACTCTTTTAAAGATATAACAATATTTACTGTAAATGGAGAACTTGGCTTTAGATGTCCCTTTCCCCATTTCTTACAGTGTATTCTCTAATTTGGCATGAATAATATGCACATTCTCCAGTCACTTAACAGCAATAAAACATATCCAGTCCATATCATAACTGTGTCAACAGCAGTGCAAGCCCAACATCTCTCATAGGATAAATTACACAGCCCTATTCTAAATGAGCAGCATCTTTCCATAGTCTTACAAACCATCCATTTATTTTTTATTAACCATTAAACAGAAATTCATTCCCTCAGGCTCGTTCCGCTCTTCCCCTTGGCCATGACCATTGCTTTAATACTGAAGGATCAAGTGTTAATGTCTTACACGCACCATTGATTTCTAATTCTTTTAAACAGATACAGGACAGAATGAATACTACTTGGCTCAGGTATGCTGAGGTTTGTAGTAATCAACATTTCCATTGATTGACTGTCCAGTCCCAGAAGTAATCTCTTTTAAAAACACTTTCATTTGACTGCACTGTAATTGCATTGGCGTAGCTCCATGCTGGCTCTCCTAAAGTAGCCAAATAAATACATGCAATAAAAATGCTGTTTACTTGTACTGTTTTAGCTGATTGGTCTGAAACATTTATTATTTATTACTGACATTTGTTAATACATAATGATGGCTATACAGTTATGTTGGCTAAACGTCTTGATGATGGATTTGTTTCTTACAAACACATAGGTTGTCACTTTACAAGGTGGTAACTGACGGACTGGAGTGATGTTGGGGATTGTTGTTATGTTTTTATCAGCTGTTTGGACTCTCATTCTGACGGCACCCTTTCACTGCAGAGGTAATGAAAAATGTATCTAATTTTGCATTTGTGACCAGAAACATGTATTAATACTGTAAATAAAGTAATGTTGAACTGACAGGAGTGAAGGTTGATAAGTAAACACAATCAGATAAGAGTACAGATGCAATAAGTCATTTGCTGTTGTATATTATTATTTGATATTATATTAATTACTGCTGTGGTTGTTGCCAAGGTGTCAAGGTTTAGATGGTTATTTGAATGGGAATGCTAATGAAGAGATTTCTCCAGTTATAATATGCTTCCTTGGATGTTGCAGTGCATTTTTAGACGCATCCATTGCTTTTAGGAGGCTCGAGCTTTCTGTATATTCAGAGCTTTAACTTCACTTGAAAAAAAGAGAGAGAGGCCGCATAGATAGAGCAGGCAGCAAAGAGCAGTCCTTTGTGTCCACTGTTTGAGAACACCCAGATGAAAGTATGCGTAACCTAATCAAAACGCCGCCTGCATTTAACATAACAAGCCATCTGCATGCCGATCCAGGGAGCGAGACTTAATGCTGGCGTGAGGTGCATTCAGGGGCATTCATAGAGTATCTCCTCATCTCCCTCTTTTATGCTCCAGCTTTTATGTGTGCATTAATAAAGGTTAAAGTTTCTGTGAAACGGAAGGGAAGAGGGTCCCTCGGTGCCCTGTTACAACATATTCTCACCTCTGAAGAGACAAATAACAAAAATTAGACTCACTTGATTATTTGGAACTAATCAGAGAGTGAAAAAAAACAAAAACAAGGCGTTATGGTGAAAGCATGCTTAATTCTGCGGACAATAATGCTGACAAGGGTGGAAAGAGGAAGTGGGCTGGAACGAGAGAGAAGCCATACTCAGCATCACAATGGGAAGAGAAAGTGACAGAGATGACTGGTATAAAACATACCACAAGGACACATAGAAACCTATGATATATACCCAAAAATGATGGGTAATATGGACTGTCACTGCATAAACTGGTTAAAAAGTTTTATTTTCTAACTGTATTACAATTCTACAAGAACACATACAGAAGAAAAACAGTACACAAAATGAACTGATCCAAAGGAATTGCCATCCACCATTTTTTTAATGAAAAACCTCAAATTCAAAAAGTCTTAATTCAAAAAGACCTTTCCAGTAGTTATGACATTCTGTTGCATTTGTGTGTGCTCATCTCTGACATGTCTTGAAGGCAGCATCTCTCTATTTGGGGAAAATAATGAAACTCCAAAATGAAAAAAAATATTAAAACTGCTACGATATTGCTCCAATGCTGCTCAAATTAATTAGATGTTTATTTTATGAACTGAAATATTTACCGACTTAGAACTCTTACAATGTCAAAGTGAGTCAGTCATTATTCAATTATTACTTCTTTATCCTTTAATTTTTACTCTTAAAGGGATAGTTCACCCAAAAATGAAAAATTACTCCATGATTTACTCACCCTCAAGCCATCTTACATAGGTATAAATTACTTTCTTCTTTCAGATAAATACAATCGGAGTTATATTAAAAAATGTCCTGGCTCTTCCTAGCTTTACAATGGCAGTGAATGGGTATTCAGAGTTTGAAGCCCAAAAACGTGCACCCATCTACTATAATAAGTACTCCACACGGCTCTGGGGGACTAATAAAGGCCTTGCGAAGCGAAGCGATACATTTGTGTAAGTGTGTTGTACACGCATTCATGAGAGAGTGACGCTCCAGTAGATGACACAGGACATAGGTGTAGCGTAAGCGCCAGTGAGAATATGCTAGTTTTATGAGAACCACGTTTTTTTACAGCAAAGGAAAACCAGTCTCCTCTTGGCTTATATCGAAATCCTCCAACATTTTTCTTTACAAATCCTTGTTTTGTACTTCTAATTTGTGACCGGTGTTTTGTTTTTCTCTCCTCTGCGCTTTCACGTTCATTACTTCTCACCGGAGCTTATGCTACACCTAAATTCTACGTCATCCTCTGAAACACCACTCTCTCATGAATGCACGTATGACAGTTAGCCGAAGCTAGAGATTACAGTTTATAAAGTTTTAAATATGGATATTTTTCTTAAACACACACATTGCTTCGCTTCAGAAGCCATGTGGAGTACTTTTTATGATGGATGGTTGCACTTTTTTGGGCTTCAAAATTTCAACCACCATTCACTGCCAATATAAAGCTTGGAAGTTATATAACGACTTTTTTATATAACTTGTATGATTGTATTCGTCTGAAAGAAGAAGTTATACACCTAGGATGGCTTGAGGGTGAGTAAATCATGGGGTAATCTTCATTTTTGGGTAGACTATCCCTTTAAAAGCCTAGCTTATTTCTGTGCTAATGCTACACGCTTTAAACTAATAAATAACTGCAAATAATATTTCTGATCATATAAATCAATGCAAATCTATTTACAATTCTCACAGAGCAAATGTAATGGCAATGCACTCATATTAGCTATATCAGCTATATTAGACAAAGTATTTTTGGCATCAAACTACATCAGACCAAAACTTACCAAATATGCAAAAAATACAGATGACATGCCTTTAAAACTGCAATCACATTAACCACATTAACCATCTGGTCCTGCAGATTCTGGCCAACAGAAAGCAGTGGCTTAGTTTGAATGTGTTTTCTGTGTGAGCTGTGCTTCATACTATACATTGCTACACTATTGACAATATAAAATACACAATAAACAAAAACATGTTGTAGAAACACAAGTTATATGTTACCATATGGTAGATACAGTAGTCAGCTACAGGAAATAAACACATTTGAAATCGCTGAAATCATTCTGTGTGCATGATTGAGCACTTGTTTTGTTCGAGATATCCATTTGCATTCACTCACAAACAAACATGTTTGCAAATCTCAAAAGCAAAAAGACGGCACTAAGAGCCAGTGTATCCCCTAAACATGCATGCATAATACAGAAACTGCACTTACAGACTCTACATACAGTACTGAAACTGTGCAATGGTAATATATGTATAAACAATCTCCCTGTGGAGTCTCCTGAAGCATAACACTGTTTTCCAGAGACATTGTGAGTTTTGTCTCTACACTAAACCTTTGGACTGAAAAGAGCACAGCAGTGAGACCGGCCATCATCTGGACGGGTCTCAAATGACACCTATACTGTACAGGAACACACTGTTTCAGAGGCACAATAGGGCACTAATCTAACAGTACAATAGGTTTTGAGAGAAACAGACTCACTGGCTATGATGCAGCTTACTTCACATGATCTGAATGTGACAAAACAAAGAAAAAAAAACTTTTACACAAACTATTTCTAAGGGAAAGGACAGAACACATTAATGTAGTTGTCCAATGTAAAACATAAAACTGAATGAGTGAAAAGAATGTGACAGAGCATAGAAAGAGATACTCATTTAAGTCAGTATCCATTTAAACAATGTCTGGCCAGATTTTGACCAAAGAGAAAGGATTGCCCAGATCTGAAGAGCAGAGGTGAGCTCCTCGATTCCCAGAGCGTCCCACTGCCCCCTCTCATGGCATCTGCTGAAATGTCACCACTCAGGTAATAAAACAATAAATCTTTTTGATATTTAGGAGAGTAAATATCACGAAGTAACCCTGATTTTTTGAGAAGGAAGAAACAAATAAAAAAGGAAAGACAAAATGTTGCTATTAATATTACAATACCAAAACTTCAGCTCAGGGATATTAGAGTTCAATCTAAAACCATGGAGAAAAAAAAAGTTGAAACTTATCTTATTTTACCTAGTTAACAAGGCATTATTTCTCATTTTCAATTAGTTCAACTTGATGTACTACAACTGAAACTGAAAAAAAATGAATGAAAAAAATATCCTCTCAGTAATGCCAAAACATTACCAATTCAGCTTTACAGCCATCAAAAGCAAAAAAATTCAGTAAATTAAGTGCAAACCAAGTAATCAAGAAAATCTGTATGTATCATAGTAAGCTCACTTTCACTATGAAAAGGTTACTGTAATAAAAATACTATATATCGTTTAAATAAATGATTCATTTAAATTCTAAATAAATAAATCAATCTTATTGACATTCGATAAAATATGCAGTTTTGCAGTCACTGAACAAAAACACATGACTGTGCAATCCAGAGAGAACACAACTGTTGATATTGACTGACAAGTCATCATATATTTATCTAATAACTAATGTTTTAAATTGGTTTGTATAGTTGCATTCTCTGAGTTCATTACCAAAAGGTTCACAAAAGGAGGTTAGAAATTATTACCGTTTGATTTTGAGAAATGTTAGAGAGAGTAATTGTGGGCTGTAATGAAAGGTTCGAGAACCTCTCTCACATGTCTTGGAGTCCCAAGAGAAGGAGAGGCTAAGATTAAATGCCATGAAAAGTTGAAGGTGCATATTAAACCAGAATGCCATTAATTTCCATGTTTCGTTTCTGGTAATGGCTACAATTTCAGTGACACTCTGGCTGACATGGCCTTGGCTTTTCGTTCCCATTACAAACTGCAATTATCTACAAATTAAGCCCAGTGTCACTAGTGGTGTCAACAGCTTACAACCCCAAACTCTACAGATGAAATCCTACAGTGTAACAGACAAACACACATTTAAACACTCATTAACGTATGTGGGGAGTCCTTCTAAGAGGCTCACGAGAAATTCCATTTAGCAGTTCCTCTAATCTGTTAGAAACCACATTACCTGTATTATACTTCAGCTGAGCAGAATCCATTGGTATATTTGCTCCTGTGTCCCTCTAACCAACCTAATGTCATTAGTATTTGTAGGTATTTATATATAAAGTGTACAGATACCTTTCTTTAAGTTTAGATCTGTCACAGTTCCAACACTGCAACGAGGAAATTGCAATAAATAAATGCGCAAGTATCAATAAATAAATAAAATGTTGACAGTTTTCTAACTTGTTTGTCCAAAAATCAACATTACTAAATGAATTATGATTCTAAAGCTCAATAAGAGCTCATAGTGACTGTTAAAATGACTTTCTGACTTCTACTTTCTGAGTCTGATTTCTCAGTGCTTTTCATCATTTAGTGGATACATAATCAATTGTTCCTCCTAGATGCTAAAAGATTAAATGGACAACAAATGGACTGTGTCTTACAATTGTAGAGGAGATCTAAAATTATTATACCTTTATCAGATTTGCCAAGATAACTCTGCAATTAAAAGTCAGAGATTACAGTTTGAACTCAAACAATTCTTATCAAATTATTCACAAAACGATCTTAACTGAAGTTGATACTTTGAAATTAAACATAGATTCATGCAGAAATGTAAAGCAAACATATGTAAAAACCATTTGAAACATGAACATACTGGAACACAGTTGATGATCTTATTATTTGGAAAGGACCCAGAAAAGTCCCTTTTGTTCATAAATATGGAAAGTATATGTCGATAGCACATCTAGCAGAGTTTTTATATAGGAATCAGTCTGGAAAGCCATAAGTAGTTACTGCTCTGCACTATAAAAAAATAATCAACAACAGTAGATTTACCTGTATGCAAATATGTCATAGAAACCAAGACAAGCATCTCATTTGGATTCTCCACAGAAAAGCATTAGATGAATGAAAGATGGAATGAATAAGAGGTTTCTAGGACCTGAAGCCCTTTAATGAGGCCAAAGGAGATACGCCTGCAGCAAGAAAAAGCCAACTGTGCAGGGAAATTACACTGCGGTATTCACAATATACATCGGTTTTCCAATCCTCCATCTCAGGAGAACACACAGAGTATGCAAAAGAGGGAATCTTGGAAGAAGATCCCTTCGGCACAATGGGAAATTTCTGAGGGGTTCCTAACTGGTGAAACACGTTTCACAGTGACAGGTTTACAAAGACAGCACTCATAATGCCAGACAAAAAGAAACACAATAACAGAAAATGCCTTATTGTGCATACAAAAAATGATGTTTTTGGAAAATTATGAATAGCTCCATAATACTGTGGGTGGAAAATATCAATTATAACATTTGCATTATTGCTACTCCCTCTTGCATGACAAAAGAACAACTGTAGGCGCAGTACTGAGCTGCCGATGGTTATCAAAGCATGCTGGGAGAGATGCTTGTGTGTTGGAGGTCTGCCCATTGTCATAACTGTAGTGCAGAGGGGGTTAACGCCACTTCTGATTGGTCAACTGAAATGTCTCATCAGCTAGTTTGTTACACTTGCTATTGCTTGGAAGATTGAACCTGCCAATGTGATGTGGATTCACACCGGTTAACATTTCAGTTAAGAACTGAGGCACGTAACCTGCTTTAAATACATCATCTCATAATGAGTGTAATCTCATCCTCATGCCGAGGTCATTATTTCACTGTGTGCAGGAGCAGTTTGGCAGCTCAATGAGAATTTGGCCGGCAACAGCATTTTAACTTTTCACAGCGTGACCGGGAAAATCTCTAGCAGCGGGTCTGAGTCACCAGCAGAATTCCAGGGCAGGAATAGGCAAGGTTGTCGAGCGGTTTGCTCAACCTACAACCTGATTAATAGGTGCCATTAAGATAAAGCCCAAAGCTCTGAGTTACAACAAACCAGCACCCATCTCTTGAACTCAGCCAATCCATTTACAGCAGACAGATTAAATGACCGGCTCTACGGCAGTGGAACAGAGGTAACTTAAACAAGAATGGTGTGAAATACAACACAGAGAATCCCCAATGACTTTTACATGACTTCTCCAGCTATACATTATTTAAAAATAAATAAATAAAATTGTATTTAAGGACTAATGTTGCAGATCGTGCTATTCTTCAGTGCTATATTAAGAACCAAATATTGCAGTCCATTATGTCCATATATTGAAATATTTTTTATAATTTCATCACCTTAATTATAAGGCAGTGTTAAATAAATGCAGCTATAAAGTGTCCAATAGCTCAGTTAAAAAGTCACAGATGGTCAGTTTTTCAATTCCAAGCTGAAATGAAGACTGATGGAAGCCTTTAAAATACACGTTGCCTTCATTTACCCAGCATGCCCTTTAATATAATATTACGCAGCAGACCAACAAAATTATTTGTAAACTAAGTTATTTTTTAATTTATCATCAACATGATCTTAGTGAATAAAGGAAAATACAAGCAGAAGTGTGTGTGTTTGTGTGTTTATGTTAAAATACTGTATCCTACTGCTGAATGATGTGCAGTACATAACAAGCGTTCAAAGGCAGATATTACCTTGAAAATACTGTGGTGCTATTAAAACAACACTCTGTTTGAGCGATCTGAAATGACAGCATTGGCATTGGCATAATCTTTGCCATAGGAAATATTTTTCAAATGTCATTTTATTAAGATCTTTGAATGTAATTCCAAAAATGTTATAGCAATGTGGCACAAGAACCAATGATGTCTGAAGTCAATAACTCTTTTAAGATTTGAGCTTTACAGTGAATGGGAAGATTTTCGGTGAATAACAACTTAAATTTTGGCCTTTTCCTCACAAAAATCTATTGTATGATTTCAGAAGACTCTGGAATATACTGCATGAGTCATATAAGTAATAGAAATTCCACAGGAGTTGAGGCAAAGAACCGCCGACGCAAAGTTAAAACTATCACTGATGTTTGCACTGCAATATTTGTCCATAAAGGTAAAAATTATGATTACTTTCATCAGTTCTGCCTACTTTAAATCTGACACAGAGAAATGGTTTCAGAATCAAGAATCAGATTGAAAATTCTGCAGTATTTACAGGGATGCTGTCTGACTGGTTGCACAAACGTGAAATGCTTCTTACCTTTGCAATCTGCACGCACCAGTTGAGAAGCAGCTGGGAGCCGATGTTCTCCTGGTGTTCATGTACGTAGTCCAGCAGGCAGCCGTGGGGCATGAGCTGAGTTACTAGCTGAATAGCGGGACTCAAGCAGACCCCCAAAAGACGCGCTAGATGAGGATGCTCCATGCTGGCCATGATCAGTGCCTCCTAGAAGACAAAAACAGAAAAGAAAATGAAAAAATAGTGTGTTGAAGTCACACGATGAAAATATTTATCTGGAGATGTTTTCCCATCAACAACCAAAATGTCTCTTAAAGAATGTTAGAATCATACTTCACAACACACACAAATAATTTTTTTAATATTAAATATGAAAACATGTAAACGCGCTATACTGACATCTTTAACTGTTTGTTCACGTCTTTTGCAGCATCTCACATATGTGTGTGCATTTTTTTAATATGCTGTTTTAATTAAATGTTTTAACTTTTAAAACATGCATATAAAGACACATCTTCTACGTATCCAACTTTGTATAAAAAAAAACATGAAATGCTTGGATAATGTGAAATGTATGTAAACAGATGTTTTGTCACTTCTGTTTACAATCCCCTAGATCCCAAGACAGAACAGATTAATACATCAAAATAAAATTCTTGCTGTATGTAAACAGACATTCTTGAATGTATTATGTGTTTTGTGAACCTGCCTACGTAATGCAGCTTTGCAAGAAGGCTGTTATTTAAGGACGGAATTGTTCAAACTTGACTGGAGCCGACAGCAAATCTTCAGTTCATAGTGCTGTATTTCATTTCACATGTGAAGAGGCAGTTTAAATAGAAGTGTTCATGTACAAATAGCAAATAAACAGCTCATTTCCTTCAAAGGGTTAGAGAGAAGGTCAAGAACAACTCGTGACGCCTAAAAACTAGACTTACCATTACAAGAAACCTCAAGAAAAAAAATGATATGACCCCTTTACATTTTTTTTAGCTTTATTTGAAGCAAATAACAGCACTATAAGCATAAATCATACACAAAGCATAACAAGTCTCTCTGCAAATACTATTGTACTCTTGCCTCCTACAGCGAAGATAACCTCCATTAGTGAGCCTGACCTCGCCAGCCACTGCTGGCCTGTCTCACTCAATTAGCCGTATGTTTCAAAAGGAAAAAGGGCCTTCAAAAAAGCACATATAGTATATAAATATTTATGTGTTACAACGAAGACAAGGATGAATACGGATCTTTCATGAGTAGGTCTGCATCATCTTGCTTGCTTATGTATGTGCACAGATAACAGAACACACAAACACACACACACACACACACACACACACACACAAGGAACACACAAAGGAATTCCCTGGCAATCGCAGTCAGCCGCAGCCAATTTTGATGGCTTTTTAAAGGAGCCTGACCTCTCCCTGAATCTTGGGAGAGCAAGAAAGATACAGAAAAAAGAGTGACAACAAGAAAAAAGTGATTTGCTGTTATTGGACTCTTCTCTCCACAGATCATGCCTTCCTGTTATAGCATTTCTTTACTTCATTTACCTTGACAATAAATTACATTTGAGCTCATTTTATGTCTGTAATTGGGCTGTAATTACTTAATTAAATTATTATTGCCAAAACTTTTATAACGATAATATTAATTGACACTTCTATATTTATTAACATTTATTTATTATTACTTATACTTTTAGAAAGGTTGCATTGTTCAAAACTTTGGCCTCTGAAATATTTTATATATATATATAAAAAAATATATATTTATTTTTTTAATTAAAGAAAAAAAACTCTAATGCTCACAAAAGCTGCATTTATTAAATCAATAATCCAATAAATCCAATAAGTAATATTGTGACATATTACATTTTAAAATAACTATTTTCTATTTTAATATATTTTTTTAAATATGATGTATTAGTGTGATCAAAGCTGAATTTTCAATCTTCAGTGTCACATGATCCTTCAGAAATCATTCTAATATGCTAAATTGGTGCACAAGAAACATTTATTATCAATTTTTGTCGAAGCTGTGATACTTATTTTCAGGATTCCTTGATGAATACAAAGTTCAAAAGAACAGCATTTATTTGAAACAAATCCTCTGTAATATTAATATTAATTGAATGCCTCCTTGCTGAAAAAAATAATTAATTTATTTAAAAAATATATTATTTTTGAATGGTAATGTAAGGAAACTATATTTCTTATTTAACTAGGATAAACTTTTTATTAGAATAATGTGCACAATATTATGCAATATTAAGACCAGGAACGAAAGTAAATGGGATTGCGTTTGATTTTATGTCTACCTTAATAGCTGAATTGACATTCAAACAACCCTTTATAGTGGGATTATTAAGATCAAAGTAGTTAACTCACATCCATAAACTCCACATTGGCTTTAGGTCCTGTACTTTCATTGAGTATCTTTATAGCCACAGGAATCTTCACAGTTTCTCCTTCTGGAACCCAGATTCCCTTATAAAGAAGACATCAGAATCAGTCAACAACCCTTCAAATCATATAAAACAACAAATTCTGACAGGTACACACATTAAACATAGAAGTGCTACCTTATAGACCATGCCAAAGGCTCCAGTTCCCAGAATCTTGACTCTCTTGAGCTCAGTTTCCTTCAATATTCGCAGCTGAGCTTGGTTTGGTGCTGTACCACTGGGTGTCAACGGCTCCACCAACTGCTTAAACAACCAAGTCTTAGATCAGTCACAACTACTGAATGCACAAAAACATAGAGCTCCAAAACAAGCTCTTAGAAGTTATACAACCATATTTTCGATATTAAGTTTGTTTATGCAGTAGCCATTAGATCTCAGGAGGGAAAATAAAGATGTTACTAGATATTTAAAGAGTAAACAGTTGTGAAGGGAACCAAGTGAAGATGAGAGGGGTAGAGAAGAGGTAAGGTTGAAAAGGATGTACAGAGACATAATTGCTAAATATAAAGTGGCATTTGTAGTTCCATTAGGGCTGGAGCTGGAGAAAAAAAACATGTGTGTGCGTGTGTGTGTGTGTGTGTGTGTGTGTGTGTGTGTGTGTGTGTGTGTCAGTGGGGTAGTTTTTGAGTGGCGTGTGCTGCGAGTGTGTGCATCTGCGAGTGTGTGCGTCTGCAGTGTAGTGTAGAGAACAAGTTCTGACATTCAAACAAATCCTGTTAAATTTTCTGATTTGTATTGTTCTTTATTTTTTATAAATTCACAAACAAAGAAAGTTGTATGGATTTGGAACAATTAAGGAGTTGAATGAATGATTATATTTGGTGTGAACTATTCCTTTAACACCAGGTTTCTCCAGGGGAATTGTCCCTGTTGGTAAGTGCACCAAATAAATTGCTTTGAAAAAGTATTTGCTAGATGACTTGGTTATTGTTTTTCTGAACTGAGAAATTAAACCCTTGACAGCAGCTAAACTAATGGTATTTAGTCCCTGGATGCACTGTTCTTATTTATGTGAAAGAAGGAGGAATCTCCCAGCACACCCTATACAAACAGTCCACTCACCACTTTCAATAGGTAATGGAAAATACATTTTTATAGTGACATTTTAACAATCTATAAATGTGTAAATTTGGTTATCCATTATTCAGGGGCTAACTGTTACTTTATGTGACCGATCACAGCACAGACTGGAGGGCTGCCACTTTGTTTTATGAAAGTACAGACTGAACACACAATGTGGAGCTGTCCATCTCTGTGGTGCTGAAACCCAGCATTCAGACTGAGCGTTAGAGGGAGCTGTCCAGATATGTGATGCTGAAAGAGAAACATCTGTCAAACAAAAAAAAAGATTTATTTTTCCCACTGTAAAAGTACAGTATATGAGCACATTAATATAGCTAAAAAAGCTTTAATTTTAGCTGAAGTAAAGGAATGTTTCAGGTTCAACATAACTTTATCAACAGAATTTCAACACTTCCCTCCATTTAAGCAACAAAAGAGTAATGCACATACAATGGAAGTGCATAAGGAGATGAATTCAAAACAGTTTAAAGCAGAAATGTGCAGATTTTATTTTGTTGTGCACCTTTTATTAATTCTTTAGTGGAAACTGATCAGTAGCTATATTTTTAATACAACATCTCTTTGAACATTTTCAGAGGAAATCAGCAAACATTCATGTTTTTTTTTGTTTTTTTAGACACTGGGTGGTCTAGACCTCGCCTTATCTTCTTCTTGGCAGAAACACACCACTTTCTACTTGAACAGAGGCCTCAGGTTTGTTAAAACGGATTTCAGGATTCTAGTGCGTGAGTGTCTCTGTCAGCTTTTGGATACAAGGCATCTTCTCAGGCTGACAGCTGTCTATAACACTGATGCTCCACCTTTTTTGTAAAAATCTACGCGTTTCAGAAAGGCAGGGCATAGAAGAGAAACAATAATGTGCAGTATGTGGAAAATAATGTGTTCTTTGAACCTTAAACCTAATTGAACCTTAAACTTAAACACATTTCATTACACCAAATACACAAAATAATGTTCTTTTTAGCAACATCATATGACCCCTTTAAGCAAACTTATATGAGAACAGGCCACTCTCACCTCAGTCTCCAGGAAACGACGTAAAGCTCTCTTTTTCTTAATGCTCTTTCGACGGATGTAAACGGCCACACCCAGAGCTATGATGACCATCACAAAGAGACTCCCAATTAACCCAGCTGCAATCAGAGGAGTCCTGAAAGATCATAGGACAATAAACAAGTTGATTTTTCTGTAAACCAGTTAAGCACAAACCCCTCCCTATGATTTTTATTTTATTAGTGCATTATTTTAATTTATTTTAAAAAATGTAAAAAAAATAAAATAATTTAATTTAATTTAATTTAATATTTTTTCAAATATTTTTATTTGCTTTTTTATTGTAATTTGTCCTTGGTCAAAGCTGCACTTGTGAAATATCTTACCTGTCCAACATGCCAATGCAATCTTGTACTCTGGGTCCAGTACAACTGCAACACAGAAAATTATATAACAATTTATAATTAATATACTTGAGTTGCATTGCAACAGACTGGTAGATTTTACCAGTATTATTCAAGTACTATTCACCATGGTGCCATTTCTAATACTGTCCTAAATTTATCCAGATAAAAAATAACAAAATGAGTAGCCTAAAAAAATTATAAATAACAATGATAATCTAACTATTATATGATACATTACAGTTATGTTAATGTAAGAGAAAATGTGCTTAACCATCATGAAAATGTTACAATAAAAAAATAGCCTTTATTTTCATCATGCAAAATATAATTTATTATATTTTCCTTTGATTTGACATGTGACCTGGACATGTTTTTGTGAGATTCGCCAATCCAGGTAAAAAAATTTTAAAATAAAATTAAAAGTTTTGAGCAGAGAATTGTCAGCCAATAAGGGCATGGAACCCTTAACGTGACTATTACAAATTAAACACTAAATACATGTTAATAATTTTGCATATTATTGGGTTCAGGCTATTTATGTAACTCCTATAAATTTCCAGTTTCCAGCTAAACCAGTTGTGAACCACTGATCTAGGAATTCAAGAACCTGTTTTTTTCTGCTCTCAAATCCCCCAGGCCCATGCGTCTAACTGAATGCGGTAACCACGACGGCATTACCCACATGGGCAATTAGGTTAGTGCTCTGGGCATATTGTGCTTGATGCAGTTAAAGGAAGGAAAGAAGCTTACAAATAGATTTAAGTGCAAACACAAGCAAACAGTCGTACCCCTGGGTGCAGTTGGGGTGGCAGGGATGGCACTCATTGTTGGTCTCGGCATATTTGAAGATGAAGCTGTTTGCTCCCTGCAGACCATCAGGGCATTTCTCCACACAGTTGGGTCCATCTTTGAGATGCAAGCACTTCACACAGTGATCTGGACCCTGTAATGGGAGACGAGAGAAAGATGTAAGATTAGGAAATGAAAAGTGTCTTAAGAGACTGAAGCATTGTTTTAAAAGGGGAAAGGAAACATTTAATGAAACAAACACAGTCGTGTAATATCATTTTGACTTTTCCTAACACATTCAAAATCAAAATCTTTTGAAGTTCTAAAGGACTTTCAGGTCTTTGCCGTTCAAAGGTTTGGGGTTGCTATGATTTTTTTATGTTTTTTTGTCTCTTATGATCACCAAATCTGCATTTATTTGATCAAAAATACAGTAAAAAAAAATTATAAAAAATATATATATATATATATAT